ATAAAACTGCTGCCACCAGAAATATCTTCCGTACCATCAATATAGTGCACCACATAAAAGCTCGAAGATTGAAAAAATCTTCCTGTAGTCTTCTAACTTTTATAAATAATATATCAAGTACCAGAGCAAAATACTATTTCGGTCATTAAATAACCCATTCCGTAGCTGATTGCTGCATGTCAGTAATAGCCCAATGTTCATGTAAACTAAAGAATTAAATAGTGAGAAATACCAATAGTATCCTCATAATCAATGCTCAAACAGAATTTTATGAATAGATTTTGAAAAGCACTTTCAAGCACTGAATCTTCACTTCCCAATTAAGAGTCCACAAAATGATTGAAGCTCAATACAAAGTGACTCTAGTTCAGGTGAGGGTTGCAACTTGCCAGATACATAATGGTTTGATGGAAACATGACAGAGATGAGTGGGCGGGGAGAATACAGATTAACCTGGGAATCTCACTCACATCACAGAAGAGAACACAATATCTTCTTCCCCACACATCTGTCATACCAACCTCTAATAGAAGACTCCAGAGCTTAGCTTGGTCATTCAGCAAGAGCCTCTCCTACCTTTAGAATGGACTCATCTTTCCCTCCATATAGCATTCTTCCCCATTTTTTGTAATTTTGCAATAGAGTGTGTAGACCTAACCAGGCTTGGAATCAATTTACTTCAATGATCATAATATTGTTAAACAATATGTCCAATTTATGAGTTGCTGCAATATAGAACTTTACAATTTCTCTTGAAGGAAATCCATGAAATTTATATCAGGCCTATTTCTTACTATGATTAGAATCACTTATCAAATGAAGTCAGGATTAGGGCACTCTGCCATATAAAGAAAGCCATCCATTTATCAGAACGGAGTTTAGTGCTTTCATTTCCACTTTTGTTAATGGAATTAGGAATTATTATTATACATGGTCACATTAAATAACCCAGCTTTAGAAATACAACAGCTTGAAATTAGCTTTATTTTAAACTACAGTTTCATTCCACTTAAATAAAAATGGAAGGAAATGAAGGAAGGAAAATTGTGCAAGGCCAATAAGTTATGCTTATTCATATTGCATCAAAGCTTGGTTGACTACATCTCTACTAATTTAAAATAGGGATGTCAATCTGTTGTTTACAATTCTTCTAAAAGTTGCTATGAAATTTTAATTTTTAACATGACCAAGGGAAAAATTATATGGAAGGAATTGTAATAATGTATTTAATAAACTTCTAATTTGAGAAGAATGTAAATACATCTGCAAGTGATACTAGGACAAATGTTAAAGTAAACATTTGTCCTAGATCACTTGCAGATGTATTTACATTCTTCTCAAATTAGTAGTTTATTTTAAATTCTACTTACATTATTTATACCTAATGTAATTGTTAGCACATCTCTTAAGTGAAATCAATTATTGACACATGGGACTCAATACATAACTTCACACCATATATCTCTGACTAATATTTATATTACTATTAATTTAGAAAATAGTTCATAATATTTATTATATATAACAAACTTCAAACTCAATGACAGTACATTCAAAACAAAGACACTAAATTACAAAAATACTACTGTATTAATTGAACTAAGCCTTAACTATCACATCAATATTTCATATTTGCAACTGCAAATGTCTTAGTTTATAACTTTCTTTTTGTAGATCAAATTTTATTCCCTTCTCTTTCTCATGTTTTTCACTTTTTATTTTAGTTTTCATATATTCATGACAGAAACAGATAGGTAAATACTCCTAGGTTTTTCAAATCCCAATTGGTTTGTTCACTTGGAGTGGATAGCAAATACCGAAAATATTCCCTCTGAGCCTGGAAAGAATGCATCACAGTAAAGTGTTGGCTTAGCAACTAAAGCATCTCTGATTGAAAGTGTCTGAGTAGTGCTTTGTCCAAATTAGAGGAATGGCGTTGCTCTAAACATCAGCATCATGTGTATTCAAATGGTTTCCTGACAAGCTTCAAATTTATTTCAATAGGAATACTCAAAAAGTAATTTTTGAGATGTCCAGGTCATAGTAGACTTTTTTTCCCTCAGTCATATATTCCTTTGGAGTATTTGAAATGTCGTCCACGTTTCAACAGCATCACCAACAATACCCTTTCTGGATTGTTTTTTAAGAATATGAATGTAGGCTCTGATATATTGATAATATATATCATGCAACCAACCTAATTTGAAGTACTTTGGATAAGACTTTTTATTAATTGCCCAGTTGTTTAAATGGTTCAAACACAAGCTTCTTTTCAGTCTCATAGGGAAGATCTAATTTATAACCATATGCTTTCTAATGCAAAATCGAAGCAAAATGGCCATTAGAAATAGGTATTTGTACCTGGCAGGAAGTTACAAGTCTTGGGTGCTAGGGAGGTGACCTGGCAAGGGAAGGGTGCTGCAGGTACATGCTACAGAGTTCAAGATCTTTGAGATTTCATACTCCACAGCAGGCTCCTTGGGGAAAAAAGCAACTGTAGTAACTTATGGGAGTGATTTGAGACCTTCCCTGCTAGCTTCCCATTAACTTTGTTTGTGGAAAGATGGCAGGGAAGGTCACAATCACCTGACCATGGGATGCTGTAGCCATTGTAGGAGTGAACCAATTGCCAAGTGAATTGTGATCATATGACCATCAGGGTGCTGATGAATTTCAAGAACTGGTTGTAAGTACTACATTTCTTCTATGTCACTACAACTTCAAATAGTTATTGAACAAGCTATTGTAAACTAAGGACTACCTGCATCTCTCATCTTAGTTGAGAATTGTGAAGGATTTCCCTCTTAACTCACTGGAGAAATCCACTTGGTAAAGTTAAGTATGATCTGTTATGAAGATCCAAAATTAGGAACATGAATTATATACTATCAAAAAAATACAACTGGCAATTGTCAACCCTTAAAAGAACCCTCACTTAGTAAATAAATTTTAAAACCAGTCAAATATTTAAAGGAGTTATAAAGAAAACTAAACTAAATCTTTTTAAAGCAGTATCCTTTAAACTGCTTTAGGAAATTGCTTTGGAGGTCATATGTTAATCACATTAGTAGTAAAGGACCCAGATTGTGTTGCAGAATGTTGCAGATATCTAATTTATTTACGAGCTCATTCATACTGTTTTTCAGGTACTTTGGTCCTCAGATTGATCTATAGCTTCATTTATACTGTCCTCTTTCAATAGGTAGATTTCTATGACAATCTCTCCATGCCCTGATTATTCTTTATATGTTTTCCTTTGCCTAAAATTTCTTCCTAATTATTTCTAAATGGCACACCCTTTGTGCTGAGAAGCTACTACTTAGACTAGAGCAACATATGGGCAGAAGACATGGTGGGCAAAAATACCAGAAGCTCTGTCTTTCCGAACAAATCTTCTCTTTCCAACAAATGAACAGACTGCATTTATCCTCCCTTCAACCGTCCTTCCTTATATTGTCTGAATTAGCTGGTTCCCCTCCCTTGCTTGGCCCAGCTCAACTGCATAAGGAAAAAACAAAAACAATGTTATCTAGATGATGTCTTTACACAAGGGAATTTAGTCAGTAGTTAAATAAGACAAACTGTCATTTGAACAGGCTGAAGAAGCATTTCATTCCAGAATATGAATTACTATTAATTCACAGTAATTAATGTTTATAAGATTATAATTGTAGACTCCCAATACAAAGATGGCAGGCACTAGTCTGTGCAATCACCAGGAGCTGAGCACAGTTTAATGGTATTTATCTAACATGATGTGTACATGATTTTTTCCAGGAAATTGCTACATTATCATCAGCAATAGCTTTATTATAATGACATCAGACCTTATCTTTTCTCCAATTAGGAATTTAAATGATTCAGCATAAGGCTAAAGGCACTAAAAACAGATGTTATAGTTTCTCCCTCTTCGTCAAAACAGAAAAAAAAGAGTAATACATTTGCTGAAAGTGAAAGCAAAATTAATGAGCACAACGCCGCAACCAGGGGTCGGATGCTACCAGTTCGGCCCGGTTCTATAGAACCTGTAGCTGTGAAGAGCAGCTGACACCAAACCGGTTCGGTGTTTGGCCCACCCGCTTGCCTGGGCTCTAGGCTGTCCTTTATTCCCTGCTTTTCCCTCGTCAGCTGCTTTGCACGGCACAGCTGAGGTTGAAAAAGCAGGAAGCAAGAGAATTTTCAAACACTGTGCTGTGCTTGTCAGCTGTCCAGGCAGCAGAGCTGATGACTTCTTGCAAATGCCGCACACACGATTGTCCCCAGTTCGGAGAACTGGCAAATCGCTCCACTAGCTGGCCTCCCCGCCCACTCACTCCTTAGCTGGCATGCGAGAGCCATCCAACTTGCCTGGTTTGGTAAGTTGCTATTTTTCCTTTTTTCCCCCGACCATTAGCTGTTCTGCTAGGCCAGGAAATTAAGATTAGCTAGAAAGCAAGAAATCCTTGGATTTCTTGCTTTCTAGCTAATCTAAAAGCAGAGCTGAACCTTTCTTAGGACTGAAGCTTTTCAGTGCAGACTCAAGTAGCCAATTGCAGATAGATAGATCTCTAAATTAATCTGATTCTGTGAGCAACTCAATCTGCCTGCCTGCTTTGGGGTAAAAGTTGCTCTTTTTTAAATAAAAAAATCAATATTTACATACATGGTGTGTTGTGAGTTAATTTTATGAGTTTGCTTGCAAGCAAATTTTATGTGACAGACTCAGATAGCTGATTGCAGATAGATAGATCTCTAAGTGAATCTCTGATTCTGTGAGCAACTCAGTCTGCCTGCCTGCACCAATAGAACCAGTTGTTAAGAAATTTGAATCCCACCCCTGGCCACAACAGATTCAATCTACAGTTTTCTCACTTCTTTTACAACTTTTTTTTCAAGTTGCTTCCAGATACAAATGTATTTTAGCTGGCCCAACAGGTTGCCAGTTTGATACATTTCTACTTTAATATACTGGATTTGTATCATTAAACATTCAGATAGTTCAATGCATTGAATGGTTTTACCTGTTATCATGGTATCTGTAGGGATGATGTTGCAGAACATCTTGCAGGAAACGCTCCATCAAGCTACTTGTACCCATGCGATTCCTACAGTAACTGACAAAATGTTTGTGCTGGGAACTATATACATGCTGAAGATAAAGAGAAAAGGGTATTTTGTATTTTCATCCACTTTTGTTTTTTTCCTTTATAAGAGACAAAAATAAATTCCAGTAATTGGAATTGCAAAAGATTATACGAAAAATAATACTTTAAGAGTGATATTACTTGATGTCATGGAACTAAGAAACATTGGTGAAAAACTAACTGCAGCAGCAACTAAGGACAAGACACCCCAAAAAACAAAAATGAAAACAACCCTACTCTATAATTGGGGAAAAAATAGCAGTGTACCATGGTGTAAAATTTTGTAGTTAGAGTAAAAAGAGGATATGGTAAAAGAATCATTTTTGTAACACTGGTAATTCTAATCTCAATTCTATAAGCATTTTTTGTCACATTTCATAGATTTTTCTCTTCGACCCTAAACTACGTCACAAGCAAGTAAAGTTGGAAAATCTCCTAACAACAACCTTTCCTGTAAGCCATCTTCCAACAAGAATCCAAGCCCCTCTTACTTATGGATCCTATGGAGCTTATGGAGCTCTGCTCTGCACCTGTAACATGTCTGCGTCTGTTTGAGTTTGTTCCATGTTGGAGAAATCTACAACTGGTATTGTAAAATTTATTTAATATGTTTATAAAGAAGTTAAATGAAGCCTCAGTCATCTGTGTTTACTTTTCTGGCACTGAATTTATGCTGCAATACTCTGAACAAGGTTTCTATATGCCAGAGTAAATTTTTTATTTAAATACCTGTTCCAGATTGCTGTAGGGTGCATGGCAACAGTTGCAATAACCTTGTCTGTTCTGCATAACAGGTAGTCCAGTCTTTGACAGCTCTAATCCTTGTTTATTTAAACTGAAAAATATAAATTTTGATATAATTTATTTTCAGAGAGAATTATAAAGCATTGTAAATGAAACTAACAGCAAAGGAGTTTCCATTATTCAGAAATATCTACTGTATTAAAGAGTAAGAGTAAGGTGGGAATTTACATTAGTTGTGTGATGACATCACCAGGCAAATGAGGCCAATTACATAATTTCTGTCAGTTTGAAATGTATGTGTGATGATGCCATTGTTCAAATGACACTGCATGCACATTCCATCACATAAAGGTTTAATGAAATGAGGTGTTGCATGCTCAGGTATTAAAAGTGTTAGTGCACTATTACAACAGTATTTTTGTTACATTTTTCAATAGCCCAACAAAATTAATTAGATCTCACTGAATGTGCTGTAGAAATTGCAGATGTATTTACATTCTTCTCAAATTAAAAGTTTGTTTTAAATTCTGCTTATATTATTTATACCTAATGCAAAAATTAAAATCAGCAAAACACTAAAATGAATTAAAAGAAAATGGAAACAAGACAAAACACATAAAGATAGATAACATATTCAAATAAATGTTACACTAGTTAAGAGAAGGCACCCAGAGGAATTCAGCAAATTCTGACCAGTTCTGGAGAACTGGTAGAGGAAATTTTGAGTAGTTCAGAGAACCGGCAAATATCACTTCTGACTGGCCCCATGCCCATCTATTTTCTGCCTTCCAAGTCCCAGCTGATCGGCTGAGTCTTCTTTTGTTGCCCTGCACAGGAGAATGGAGCTGGAAAGCAGGTTTGTGGGATGGGCAGGGAATGGGGATTTTGCAGTATCATTCCCCTGCCATGCCAACCAAGCCACACCCACCAAGCCATGCCCATAGAACTGGTAGTAAAATTTTTTGAATCCCACCACTGAAAGAACCCCTCTCTTAAACAAAAAACATGTTAATCAGTTTGTGAAACCTACCATATGAAATACCAACCTGCCTCCCCCAAAATAAACTGGGAGTTTCACAGTTTAAATGAGGCCACTGAGAACCTCCCTCCTTCCAAATCATGCTGTTGCCACAGCCTAGAGAAAGGCCTCTACACTTCAGAATTTAGTAAAGTTGGTCTGGGGTGAGGCAGTCCATAAATTATCCTGAATCTCGTCTTTTTATAGCTTTAAGAATAATCACCAATTTTAAGTTGTGCCCATCATTATTTTAAATTGGATAGTACAATTCCTTTCCTCGGTGAAGCATTGGGCATTCTTTGTACTCTTTTGACCAGATCTGTCAGAATATTCATGAACTGGCAGAGACATGGTTAACAAGGTCAGAATGGGCTGAGAGTGGAAGGAAAATGGGTGTGGCTTAGCTCTGTGCTCTCAGCTCCAAACTGAAACTGGTCTCTGCTGAGCTGCTGCTTGTCTTTTTGCTTGTAACTTTACCATGCTGGAAGAAACTACTGGTATTGTAAACTTTACTTCTAGTGTTATTATGTATATAAAGAAATTAATGAATCCTGCTGAATCAGTCATCTGTGTGTGTTTTCTGGATTTGAATTTTGGCTGCAAAATCTAACAGGTTATGAGCCCAGCCAGCCCACAGAACACACCAAAGGACTGCATTGTAAATTAAACTGAGTGAGACTGCCTGTGTTTACAAAGCAGAGGAAAGCTTTGCAGGATGGCTGAGAAAATTAAGGAGAACTCTCTGCCTCATTTGGGTCAGAAGAATTATATAATTTGGGCTGCAAAGATGGAATGTTTCCTGAAAGCTAAAGAACTGTGGGATATTGTTGAAAACACACCCCAAGTGCCATTAACTGCTGCAGATCAGAGGCAGCATGATAAAGCAATGGCTTATATCAACTTAAGTTTAGAAGATGAACAGTTTATCAATGTAGCTGATTTAAAGACTGCAAAGGAAATCTGGTTGAAGTTAAGAAGTGTTCATGTGAGTGTGTCTGCATGCAATACTGTGCAATTACCAAGAAAGTTATATAGAGCCAGTCTGCAACCAGGAGAATCTCTAGAGCAGCATCTTGTAAATATGCAAACTTTGTTTGTGGAGTTAGAACAGCGTGGAATGCAGATTCCTGAATCTCAGAAAGTGCTGCTGGTTTTAAACAGTCTAGATGACTTGTGGGACATTGTTTCTGCAGTATTTGAATGCAAACCAGAGCAGGAATTGTGTTTGGAGGCACTGAAAGCATGTCTGATTGCGGAAGAAAATAGCTAAGAGGAGAACTTCCTGAGGAGGGGGCCCAAGGAGCAGAAAGAGAAGCAGAATGGAAAATTCCATAGGCTGTCTGTCAGCAGAGAAGAGAAAAGCAGCAGAAGAGATCAGATTACAGCCTAACAACAGAGGCAGTGCTTATCTGTGGAGAACAGACACACCTAAAAAAGGACTGTTTGCAAAGGAAAAACTTTTTTGCAAGGAAGAAGTTATTTACAAGACAAAAGCAGTTTACAAGGAAGAAAATCAGCAGATGGACAAGTTGCTGTGGCAAAAACCAGCCATTGTAACAGTAGAGATCAATGGTTAATTGACAGTGGAGCTAGTCAAATGATTGTTAACAATTCTAAATTGTTTTACAGGATGGAGGCAGCTGCAGGAGATGCTGTAGCCTTGGCAAATGGCAAAAAGACTAAAAACATTGGAAGAGGCAGTGTGCAAATTCCATATCTGGAAACAAGGTTCAATGATGTTTTGTGTATGCCTGAAATTGGGGGTGGGGGTGGGGGTGGGGCAGAGCTGGCATCTCAACGATACGGCATGCGATCTTGGAGGTCTGAGATCGCTGCCGATATCTTTGCTCCTGGACGGTCCAAATGGATCTAAACTGTCCCAAAGAGATGGTGAATGTAAAGAGCACATCCTGTCAATCCCAGGGATACCGCAAAGTCCCTGGTAGATCCAGGAGAAGTTCTTTTTGCCAGCAGCAAAGAGGCAGCCATCAAAGCTGCTGAAGTTGGGACAGCTCCGAAACGGAAGAGAATAGAAAGAAAAAGTGTGCCGGTTTCGTGAGAAGTTTTTCTTTACTTTAAGATTTAAAAGGACACCCTAAGGAAAAGAAAGAATCTGTAAAATCTCAGAAAAAAGTAATTAAGCGGCGATTTTAAATGGGAAGTCAAATTAATTTTTACTTTTTTTTGCTGGACTCTTTCTATACGATCTTTTACTTTGAACTGGACTGGTCTTTTTTTCTATCTTATTTTTCATTTTTGTTTCTTCTCCTTTTTGTCTTTACAACATTTTAGGCTAGAGGTCCCCTTTTAGACTTTTTTTTGAAACCCTTTTTATTTTTTAATTAACTTTTTTATAATATTTTGTTTGGAAAAGGAGGGGGAAAGTGAAAACAGAGGAAACTTTGTAACACTGCCAACTAGAGGCTTAGAAACATTGTTTCTCTTTTTTTCTCTTTCGACCAGACAAAGCTGAGAAAGAATTCAGACTTCTTTTCAAGGACTTTGAGCCTGTCTGATAAGATAGAGGGAAGAGCATGGGAGTGTGTTATTGCAGGTGCTCTTCTGGGTTTCTTTCAGTAGCTGGAGTCTGGTGTTGAAGTATACAGAAAAAAGACGATAAGATTCTAGAGAAGAGAGCTATGAAAACTAACGAAAGCCTTGGATAACTAAATAGGTGCAGTGTGTTCTTTTTCTCTTTTTTAAGTTGAGCTATTCCTCACACCCCCTCCTTATCAGCTTACTATTTGTAATACTTATTTGGATCTCTGGACTCTTGGAACCTGCTTTTGTCTTTCTTTTTGCTTTTGGAGCCTAATTTTTACTTTTGCATTCTATCTTAAAGGAAAAGCCTTAGTATTAATGTTCTCTCTTTTTTTTAAGGGAGTAGGCTTTTTCTTTTTCTCTCTCTCCCTCTCCTGCATTTTTTACCTACCTTCCATATTGGGTTTTTTTTTTGTGGTTTCCTTTTTTTTTTTTTGGTATACTTTTTCATACCTGAGACTTTCTAATTGGATTAAGGTGTTGAAGAACCTGAACAAATTCCTTTTTCTTTTTAGTTTTTTACTTTTTATTTTTCTCCCATTTACAAGTTTTAACATTTTTTTTCCTTTCTCTGTTTATGGTTTGTTTTTCCTTCCTTTTTTGAGCTTTTACTGCTATTTAACTAAGCGACTGGATTAAGGTATACAAGAACCCGAAGAAATCTTTTTTCTCTCTCTATCTTGCTTCTTTTTTCCCACTATCTTTAATTGGATTTACAATTGGCTATTTCATGAGTGGATTAAGGTTTAGAAGAACCTGAAGATTTTGAATCGTCTGAAATGAGCAGGAAATTAACAGCGGCTGGTTCTTCAATTCCTACTTCTTGCTCTTTACCATCTGGAGGACAACACTCAATACAGACGATGTCACAGCAAGAAAAAGAACAGAAAAAGGTGACACTGCAGATGATAATGCAAGGAATTCAAAGCATAGAAGCAAGAACAGAGAATATTGAAAGGAGAATAGAAAAAATTGATGAAAAGGTGGAGAATATTCAACAAATGATGATGTGAGAAATTCAAAAAAATTGAAGAAGAAGATAAACAAAGAGATAAGAAGATTGGAGATATCAATGGCAGATTAACAGTGGTTGAACAAGATAAAAGTGGGATGCTGAGATGGGAGATGGATAGATCAGAATTTTATCTCAGATTTCAAAACATAGACGAAGAAAAGGGACAACACTTAGCTGAGATAATGATAGAAATCTTGGCTGAAGCTCTGGAAATAACCAAAGAGATGATGATGGATGGAATAGATGAGGTTTTTCAAGTCTTCACAAGATATGCAATGAGAAATAGCTTACCAAGAGAAGTTCACATCAGATTTACAAAGAAAGCCATTAAAACACAAATATCACAGGTGGCAAGAGAGAAAACATTGAAACACAAAGATAAAGAGATTGTGGTCCTGAAACAAGTGCCTAGAAGAGTGAGAGAAATGAGAAGAGAATACCGATTCCTGACTAAAATCTTACTTAAAAATGAGGTAAATTATAGATGGCTGATTCCAGAAGGTTCACATGGCAAGAA